AAGTAAAGATGACGAAAATGCATAATATGCGTATTATGATGTTACCAATGATTGTGATCGACAGGCAGACAGAACCAGAAATTAGGTCTTTGGAATCAACGAAAAGAAAACAAGCTGGATGTCATATTTTTAGCTTAAAGTAAGTTGAAATTAACTAGACAGGGTGAAAGGAGCGGTTGAATGTCTACCGCGGGTGGTTGGCGGGTGCTCTGGTGTGGTTTGCGCTTTCCTTCCTTTCAAACATCTAGTCCTCCTTCTTTTTTGTGTTTGAAACTCTCTTGTAACCCCTCTAGATTTTGGGCCCTAATATGACCTAATTGCGTTGCATGTGCCGTAAACCGCTTACTAAAACTAAGGGTCTACCACGTTGTATCTGGTTTAGTTGTAAGGGTCTACCGCCGAACTGGTCTGACAACTGGGATGATTCTGGCTCGACTGTCACTGGCCATTAGAAATGTTTTGATGGGTGTAGTTTGTTTGTCCGTTTGGGTGGTAGGGGGGGGGGATTTCTTGAAAATAGTCTCGTCTGGTCATTTGCTATCACGACTTTCTCGTCGATCTTATTGTCACTAAGATCAGGCGATCAGTATCTTTTAAGAGTTCTTAGAAAAGGGGGTAAACAATTAGCTGAGAGTAGTGAAAGATCGTTCGCCCACCTTGTTCCGTCAGTTTGGAACTCTCTTCCCCAACCCTTGAGACATATATCTGAGTCTAAATTTTAAAAATCTTTAAAGACACATTTAATGACATCCTTTTTATGTCAGTAGATTAATGTTCAATGAAATGTTATGTAAATGACTATGTATCCATTGATGTATTTTGTGAATTGCATTGTGTATATTATTTTAAGCTCATTTCGTGACGATGTGTAAGTGGGTGCGTGTGATAAGCAAGTAGATGTGTGTGTGTGTGTGCGTGCGTGCGTGCGCGTGTGCGCGTGTGTGTGTGTGTGTGTGTGTGTGTTTGGCGTACATGTGTGTGCACATGTGTGCGTGTTATGTGTTCGTGAGTGTGTATGTGTGTGTTTGTGTGTGTATGTGTGTGTGTGAGTGTATGAGTGTGCGTGTGTGTGTCGCGTGCGTGAATATTGTTTGTACATGCATTTATGTAAAGCGCCTAGAGCTGGTTTTTCACGGGAGTGGGCGCTATAGAAATGATCTTCATTATTACATGTATTATTATTGTTATTATTATTATTGAATTATTTGCTGTTAACAACACTGCAAAACGGAGCAATTCACCCGTCATCACACAGCTATTTTAATTGTCATGCACCGCGGCACCGCCCTAGGTGTGATCGCCCTCAGGTCTGTCGTTGCCGTGGCCAATCAGGCTCCTCCCGACTAAAAACAAAACAAAAACATGTCGTTTCCCTTTCAAATTTTTCTCCCAGAACGAACATTATTTATTCACGGAAACCATCCATTGCACCTGCATCGTGGACCATTATTCACTTACCCGATTGTCTGTAACCAATCAGTGGCCTTTTTTTCATACCAACACATACTTTGTTGGCACGCGCACGTGTCTACTCTGGTGTGTGTCGGGGTCGGGGGGGGGGGGGGGGGGGGTGGACCAGCGGTCCTGGCATTGAAGTTGAACGTCGCAGATACAAACGCGTCACAGTCTTTTTTTTTCCTCGGCTACTGATCATCATTACAATGATAAGCTAGTCTTAACGTAGATCTACGTAATGAATTGTGCGCTGGTCTATGGAATCAAAAGTTGTCGTATGCTAGGCTCTACACAGCAACACAACTTTTTGGTAGACAATCAGGATGACACAGGCGTGTTCTTTTGAACGAATCGGTCTTTTTTTTTTACACCGCTCATGATATGCAGGCATTTCAGGCACTCCTTTTTACTTCTCTTTATACATTACTTTCTCAGTGCCTGTAATTTTCTACACAAAACCTCGTGTTTGCTATAAGCGAACACTCGGATTCAACGATATTTTAGGTCAGGCCCGGCGACCTCGTTGAATCCGAGTTTCACTGTATCTAGTGAAACAGACAGACTGACAGACAGATAGACAGTGGGGAGAAGGGAGGAAATTAGAGAAATACTGAGAATCAGAGAGAGACAAACAAGCAAGCGAACATGAAAAAAAGAAAAAGAAAAAAAAATAGAAAGAAAAGAAAAAAATCCCAAAACAATTTGAAAGATTGAAAAACTAGTGGGAGAGGGAGAGGGAGAGGGAGAGGGAGAGAGAGAGAGAGAGAGAGAGAGAGAGAGAGCACTGCTGTTATCTTTTGTGCTGCTTTGAAAAGCATAGAGCAGTAGCATTACATTCATTTCATTTTTTAACGACTGATGCTTTTCAAACAATTGACTGTACATCTGCTGGTTGATAGTTGGGGAATTTATGCGCAAGTCGGATCTTTTTATTACTTGTTCCATTATACATGATGGGCTTAAGCTTTGATGGGAGAAAATTAATCGGTTTGCTTATGAATGGGTCCACGCTGTCCTTCTGTTTACGCGAGTTTGACACAATCAATCAATTTAGGCCTTTGTGGGTGGAGGGTTGCCATATATACATATACGTATATGTCAGAAATGAAAACTTTCAAAGCCATTGGTGCTAAGAGCGAGTACGTTAAACTAAACCGAGCCATGGTTTACTACATATCGTCAGCCATCCGTTAAAGTGTACGATGCCCCAGATTTTGACTTTTTAATTACAGTTTCTGAATCTTTGATATCAGTTGCATGTGCTCTAGAAATATTTTGTCGAAATTCAAATTCTAAATGTTGAAAAAAAATTTTTTAAAGTAAAATTAGATTTATTTACTTAATTACTTGGTTGGAGAATAGACATCATTGCAGGTGGCACAGTGCCATAGCTTCACCTACCTCCTCTCCAGGATCCATGAAAGGGTCTGCTTGCTGATCGTGCCAGTTATCAGCTGGTTGGATTCTTCTGGCTTTTCCACTCAGGTTGCTGTCTCTCCCCGACGCGCTTTTCCCTTTCGTCAACCCGCAGCCACCTCCCAATCGTCAGCCACCCCCAACCTTTGACACGGGTCAAACTTCCATCTATTTATAGGTAGTTACCGGAACATGTATAGGTGAAGTGATGTGCCGTGATAGTCGCGATATATTATTTATTGAGATTGTTTTGATCTCTCTTTACTCATCACCATGAGAATTTCTTAAAGTTTTCCCCTGGACTCTGCCTTTACTAAAATCTCGAATCTCGATCTAGATCTAGAGTTGTAATCTAGTGGCAGGTTGCAGATTTCTGTTGCTATCCAGTACATTCAAGAGATTAAATAAATTGGACTAGACTCTAGATCTAGTAGTAGACTCTTCTTCTTCTACTTCTAAACCTTCGAGATTACAAAGGCCAAGCCTAGGCTTGTAAGGATTCGTTTTGTTAAAAGTGTTGTTTAACACAAAGTCTATGAAGTTAGCAAACCTAACACATTGTTTTCTAACGAAATGATGCTTAAATTGACTTTTATATTGTCAATAAGAGATCAAGTTTAATCATCTAATCATTTAAGTAAGGAAGTGGCTATTGCTATCCTCGCCCGGGGTGAGAATAAAAACCCTACGATTGACCTCTCACCCCGGGTGAGACTTGCCAGCGTTAGCTATTCTCACCCAGTGTGAAACAAGACCTGTTTTTCCTAATTTCGAAATGCTTTCTATCGGTGTGGATGATCAAATTGACAAAGGCAAAGGAAAAAAATGACGTTATAGCACAAAAGTAAGCTAATTTGATCGTCTACAAAGATGCTATGGCTCTTTCACTTTTCGAATCGACCGAACTACGCGGGTCACCATTTCGTTTTGCCCGAAAGTTCTCGCAAGATCTACTCCTCCCCCTTCTCTCTCTCTCTCTCTCTCTCTCTCTCTCTCTCTCTCTCTCTCTCTCTCTCTCTCTCTCTCTCTCTCTCTCTCTCTCTCTCTCTCTGTCGGCAATTTATTAAATCTGCAACCTGCAATTAGATTACAACTAGATCTAGATTCGAGACTTTAGTAAAGGCAGATTCCAGGGAAAAACATCAATTAAATTCGTGTGGTGCAGATGAGTAAAGAGAGACCAAAACAATCTCTCTATTGCGACTATCATTGCACATCACTTCGCCTAATACATGTTCCGGTAGATTTAACTACCTATAAATAGATGGAAGTTTGACCCGTGTCAAAGGTTGGGGGTGGCTGACGATTCGGAGGTGGCTGCGGGTTGACGAAAGGGAAAAGCGCCTCCCCGACCCTCTAGAGACACCAGCTTCCCTCAGTCTTTCCATTGAGTGTGATGTGGTGCCTTCATGTTCTCTGCGGTCGTTGAACCTTGCTGTCAATGCTGCCATGTCTGTTGGTGGATCAAATTGCATGGTACCACCAATCTCAGCCTGGCCGGCTAGGTTAGCACGTTCATTGCCGTGAACTCCTGCATGGCCAGTGCTAAAGATCCTTGCTATCCTTGTTAGTCTGCTGCTTCATATTGCCTCTCGCCAGCCTGCATAAATCATAATGTGTTTCTTCACTTTTACGAGGGTGCTCATCAAGTCGGTGACGAGGATGAAAGACTGATACTCCGTCGACTTAATCCAGTTAAAGGTTTATGTTATGGCTTTCATCTCCACATGATGCACATGCCCAACATAGTTTATACTAGTGGCACCTGACAGCTCTCTCTGTATGACCACGTTTACATGGACGCTGAAAGCCCATTCATGACTCCACGCTGTAGGCCTACTGATCCAACTGTGAAGATGACTAGATCTAGATCTACGTCGCCCTCACTGTTATTGTTAATGGAGGTACAGTGATGAATGTTCCCGTATATTTTTATTTCTAGGCCTAGTACATTTTAACAGCTTGTCGATGATGTATGCAGTAAGACCTCTGTATAACGATCTCACTTGGGATCCAAGATTGTGAACGTTTAAGAGGAGGTATGAAATAGCCAGAAAAGCAATGTTGACAACAGGGAAGGTCAGTGAGTAATATTTATTCACTTTGTTGATCACCTCCCCTTATTACAGACTGTCTGCAAGGCACGGGGTGGAACGACTGACGTCATCATCCTGTGTGATCAGATACAGTGACAGTGTGGACTACAGCTATACGAGGTAGGTTGTAGGGCCTACTTCATCTCGATTTTTGTCAACTAGAGAGCTTTGTTGTAATAATATATGTATAACTATGGAGTTGGG